TCCTATAGGGACTCTCCTTGAGTTTCTCCACAGTAGCCTTACCTATTAAGTAATAGCGGTTAAAACTACCATGCGGAACGTCAAGTTGAGCGAAGAAAACTCAGAATTTCTAACGGGGAGGGCTTCTTTGTTAGTTTTTTAGGAGTAGTTGACAGGGAAGTACTATGGCTAGACTCTAGGCTATTAAAGAGGAGAAAAACTACACCTCCGCCAAAAGTGAGGTCAACACTCATCTCCATAGGCTTCTGAATTGCCCTTCACCCAAAAGGCTGCCATAACAAAAAAACATTGGTGCGGTAGGATGTAACCCTCTTTTGGGGTCCCACCCACCATGATTTTCTGTTCTAGCTCTAAATCCTTCAGATCGATCTTCTCCTTCTCCTATTCGCATGCGGTCCCATTCCATCTATTGCCGCTTGTTCCAGGCATCCGAATGTTGCTCTATTCCTTCCAAGTGCTATTGCTCGACTCCTCTTCCATTTCCTTCGCTAAATCCTGCAACTCTAGTTCTTCCTAAGGTACCGACTCTACCTTGATATAGCGTGAATTCTTCTGGTTGCTGCCACTCGCGTTCGCTCCAGATGCCGTTGCTTGATTTTGCTGCAAGCAGTGGCAGACTTGTGTGGAATTCTACGATTTTCATCATTTCTTCCAGGGCTGTGAATCTACCATCTATGAACAAGAACCATCCCTCCATGGACGAGAAACATTTTACCATTCTAGATTTGATTTGGTTCACCTCTTGCTCTAAATTCTTCTCCAAAACATCTACTTTTTTGGTTGTCATTACTCTGAGGGCTTTTTTCAATCACGAAGGCAGAACTCATGTGCGTTGAGATCCTGTCGTTGGCTTCCCAAGTATCCCGAATAGCGATTGTACCATGAGGTCGTAACCCGCGATCTCTTCCTTGGCTTTCCAGATGGTCCAAATCACGACTGTTTAGGGAGGTTGTGAGCTACAATTCCGTCCTTGTCTTCCTCAATCGCTTGAATCACGATTATGTCTGGATTAGTATTGGATCCTTTCATCGACATCGAATAATGATTGTGTCGCGAGGTTCAATTCTCCTTGTATGCCACGATCCCTTCTTTGTTTCTCAGAATCAAAGTGCTATTATATCATGACGTGTGTACACTGCGATCCTGACCTTGGCTTCCTAACTAACTTGAATCATGACTATATCACGAGATTCGGTAATGAAGGCATGCAACTAGGGACACCTCGATGATTTCAACACGATACAAGGGAGAGTAGTGATCGAATGCTCTGATACCAACTTGATAGGAAAGAGACGAACTTTCACAGAAATTCTGGCAAAATAAAATATTTTTCTTCAGCAACATAAAACAAGCAAGAGGTAGGCGGTCTCTCCCAAACATTAGCCCTAACATTCAAGACAACAATCACACATATCCCCTAACCCTAAATATATTAACACTATTTATACTCTACAATAATAACTGAGAAAGGACTGAATTGCCCTTTTAGTTTTATGCCTAACATAACGGCGACTCAATGGAGCACGAGGCGGATGGTGCCATAAGTGCCGGTCTAACAATTTGTCTTTAAACTTACAGTAGATTCCTCAGGCTTGAGAATAAGTCAAATTTCATATCAAGGAACCCGAAAGCCATAGGAGGCAAAGATCATTTTTCCTCGCATGTATGAAGCATTTTGGAGTTATCTGATAGCAATTCGATGGAAGAGTCAGATGGCTAACGTACTATTATCTTTTTTATACGCAATGGCTAAGTAAATTTTTTATGTGTTTCGAACCTTAAGTTTTATTTAAATGGAAAGAGCATATGGAGCAGTGGTTTTATTCCACTATATGAACATAATCAGGCTGCAGCTGTTTGAAACAATTGCTGCTGAATTTTGTAGGTAAAAGGAAATGAATAGAAGCTTTATTTTATTTGGGATTCCTTGCATGCTTAATGAGCCGAGCATCTTTTCACTGAAATGAACTTCATGTTACCCCATTGAATGGACCTTTTTTCTGTTATCTTTGAAGATATTTTTCAAGAAGACAAACCTGCCATTTTTTTGGATTTTCGGTTAGGATATGCCAGTAATATCTTTTATATGGAGAAAAAGGTTCATAAAAATTCATAATTTTTGCTTACAAAAGCACAAAACAAAGATTAAGGCAACTAGCCTTAGAAGCTAATATTTTTTTGTGGTTCATTGATTGGTGTGATCTTGGGATACAGGACATGGTGTGATATTTGGGGTGATATGCCAATTCCGAGAAAAGCTAAAGGATGTGAGAGGCTGTAGATATGTAAACCAGTCATTCTATTGTTTCAAATATTAGATATATTTTCCATTTTGGTGCATCTGATTGGTAGTCAATTATCGATATGCAAGTTTGATTTAGACACCTACAACTCTTGTCCCAACTTTTCATTGCTTTTATAATCTATGGAAGAACTGTTTGAATGCTGCCTTAAATCCATTTGAACTTTGAAATTTCTAACAGTTTTGGTGAAATCCTCATAGTGTCTCCCTTCCTCTCTTGTAGTTGGGTCTTGAGAGCCCATCTAAACCCTCTATTACAATTGGTCTAATAGTTCTTACCTATCACGTAGCTGTGCCTTTTAAGGATGGTCAGACTAACCATCACCTTCATCTCTTGAACTTCCGGCCCTTCTGCCGAAATCTCAGCGGCATATTACTCCTTTAGTATTTGGGACACCCTCCAATCATATTGTCTTAGGTGACCAAAGAGGTGCCCATGGGAATGGCCTGCAGTTGTGCCTTTGAGGTCAGCCATTACCATTAATGCAGGTTGTCTCCCTTCCTATGAGGCTATGTTCAGCCCAAAAAGTGACAGTATCTTGGTTTTTGATAGCTATACATGGAACAGAAGCTTTTAATAACCCATTGGTTGTACGCTTCAGACATCGCCTGCTCCAGGTGAAATAAGAAAAAATGAAAAGATGATCCTCTGATTACTGTCCAATCCTGGATCTGCATGGAGATCATGTGGTACACTGATGTCAAGCGAGGCAACTTAATGCGCTCTGATGCCACTATTTTAATGCCAGGGTACTATATGTATCATAAGCACGCCTCCTTTTACTCAATGGAATGACGAATGAAAAGCTGGGGGAAAGCCATGTTATATGGTTAGAGTAACATGCTTCATATCTAAGCTTGGAATAGTGGACTATGGATTGTCAAGTACAAACATGGTTTAATTTGAAGACAAAGTATTTAGAAAAATAACTAGTGAAGCCATTGTGTTTCTCATTACAGATTTGATGATGAAAAAGCTCGTGGTAAAGTGCTGAAGTTTGAAGAAACAGGCGTTTGCTGTAGAATAGTGAATATTTTACATACTATTGTAGGGTGCTACTAATTTAGGCCTCCTCATTACAGCAAAAAACATCTTATCTTTTTAATATAGCTCTTATTTTTATTATGATGTTTACTATCAGAGCAAATCTGCTATCCATTCTAAATGCTTGTGTATTTCGAGAGTATATCTACTTCAGCTTTTCAACCAAATGGCTCTTCAACCTACGGAATACCATCCTAGAAAATTTTTGGGAATATGAATTTGCAGATGCTAATTGAAGGAATGGCCTCCCTGTATAATATGGATGCTAGAAATACTACATTGGACATGCTTCTTTTGGAGGAAGTTTAAGGATTTCGAAGGAAAATGAAACATAATGTAGTGGGGGAAAACAAAAGGAGTTTGTTTTGTTTGCTTTGTGGAAATTAAAAAAAAATTGTAGGATTAAAAGAGAGGCTCACGTAAGGCTGTTAACGATCCGATTTCAAGCCGAGCTGGGTTCTGCTGGGTTCTTCTCAAAATCGGCTCTAAAAAAATTCGATCCAAAATTTTGACTCATAGTTTGGGTCGTCTATTTTAATCTGAGCTCGATCCGAGCCAAAATTCAAATCAATTTTCGAGCGATTAACGATCTTCGAGCTAAATTTGCTAAAATCACATTCTAACATCTTTAGGACTGTTAAGATCCTATTTTGATAGCTCGAATCGGCTTGAAAAAAATTCGATCCAAAATTCTCTCCATGGCCTACCTCTTTCTTTAATTAAATCATCAATTTTTTACTTTTCAATTACAGCCTCTCTTTTCTCTCTTCTCTCTTTATTTTCTCTGGACAAGCACTTGAAAATTTTTTCATGGTATAAAGCACTTCCAGGATCTACTTTTACACATAATACACAACTACTAACGAAGTTCCTTTTTGGTCTTATTTGTAAGAGTTCTAGGTGGATTTTGGCTCTAGTTTTAGATTTTGATTTGATGTTAATGCAAAATAAGAATTTTTTTAACAACTTCTTAACGTATTCTTATTCTAAAAGTTTATGGTGTATTGATATGTATGGGGATACAAACTTATAATGACAAAAATACGGGGCATGTTCAATAGTGAAATATTAAACATAGATATGATTTTGACACAGTATTATGCTTTATATATTTAAAATTAAAAGGTGAACTAAAATAAATACCACAGTTAAATATTTACATATTTAACAACTAAACTTTCATATTTACGTGCATGCCTTTCAAATCTTCAACAACACATAAAATATACAATATTTACTAAGTTTTTAAAAGTAAAATACACATTTTCAAGCATAGGTTTATTGCACCAAAGTATTATAAACATAAATATCAAACCTTAGGTGTTAGATATGTTACTACAGAAGAATTGTGTGATCTGTATGTAAAATTCTCAAATTAAAAATAGTGTAATAAATACACAAAGTAAAATATGAATGAAGTCATAAAATTATATCGTTCTAAAGATGTAAAAACTATAATAGTAAGGATGCAAAAATTGAGATAAAAATGTTCTTTTATTTTTCATAAACATTGTTTGATATTAAAAATTGAAGAGAAATGACAATTGATCTAAAAAAATTGAGGTGACGTGAGCTGTGGGCCTAAAACGTCTGTAAGTTGATGATTGCAACTTAGGGCCTGTTTGGGGCAGCTTAAAACAGCGGCGCGCCTCACTGTTTGGTTAACACGTTTAAATTGCGTGTTGGAAATCGCAGTTTTTATTTTGTGAAGAAGATCGCCCGCGGGATCATCCCCGCGGGCCGCGTTCCCTTGTCGCGTCTTCTGTACGAATTACTCCGCTGCCCTCGTATAGCTATCGAACCCTCTGCCCTTACCCTTCCCGGATTCGACATTCCTTCCTCCTTCGTTCGCGATCGAGCACGCAAAGCCGCTTCCTGCTTCTTCGGCACTCCTTCTCTTCCAGGTAAGGACGCATTCCTTTGGCACTGATTCTTCTGCTCAGACCAATCAAGTTCCGCCATGGCTTGCCTTGAGTAAAAAAGTTGGAGCTTTTTCTCTGTGAGGGAACCAAATCGCCCTTTCTCTCTTCCCCAGCTCTACTTCTGAGAAGCATGACCACCAAAGCTCTACTTCTGAGAAGCATGACCGCCGTCGCCGCTCCTTCTCGCAAGGTCATTTCAACCTCTTCATCTTCTTCTTACTCCTTAGTATCCCTCCCTCAATTCGCTGCTCTTTTCTCTACGGTTTGATATCTCTTTTAAAGAATTTAGGTTCAATCGTAGCAGACCCTGAGCAAAATCGTCTGGAACCGGCTGCAGAAGGAGCTTGTGGAATGGCAGGTTAATGCCCTGGTCTGCTTCAAACACAAGGTTAATAATTTGATGATATAATTACTTTTAGTTTTAACACTACAAGTTAACAAATGTTAAAGTTTCTTATAAATTTTATACATAAATTACATGTTTCTATTTTCATTTTTATGTTTTCCTTTTGTATTGCCTTCTTTTTTTCTCCATTTATTTCTTTCTTAAGCGGGGTTATCTATCATTCCTTTAAAATTGACGAGGAAATGGATAAAAAAATCGCTTGAAATTTGTTCCTTAAGGCTTTTTTCTCAACAGAAACTACTTGTAGTATTATTTGGAGGTCAAATATATTTTGAATCATAGAAGCAAAACTATTTGTGATGCAAGGATAAGGCTGCACTCATCAACTTCTCCTTAGATTGGTGGGAAGCCTCATGCATTTGGTTAAGCAGCCCCTATTCTCTCAAAGTGTGTTTAACGAATCCCATTGTTCAAGTTTTAAAAGCCATTGAATAGCATTAGGATCTTCAACCACCGAACCAAAAAGGCTCATCAAAACCATTAGCAGCTCTGAGAGGATTGGTTTGGTATGGACAGAGCAGCCACTTGACATATTTGCTCAACTTTCCTTAGATACTTCAAAT